ATCTGTTAAGGGACAATGAAAGATGTAAGTTTCAGATTAGTGTGGTACTGATAATGGGACTATAACAAATGACTAAATTATTAGTCTGCTCATTATTTTTCACTAGTATTTTATTAGTCATTTGATCTATAAAACATCAGAAAACAGTGAGAAAGGTCCTTTGTAACTTCCCAGAGCCTAAAACGATGTCTTCAAATTGTCCTTTTGTCTGAAGATATTTAATTTACCATAATGAATGACAAAAGAAAAGCAGCAAATCCTCACATATGAGATGCTGGAACCACCAGATGTTTAGCTTCGCTTAAAAAAAAACTAGCTCAAATGATTAATTTATCATCAAAATACTTGACAATTTCCAACTATCATAAAGAAAAATTAAAGCTGAAGCAGGCTAGAAAATCCTATATCTTACATTTACTTAGGCACAAAAATGGAAGAGATTCAGTAATTGAAAATGATAGAAATACATACAGATGTACTCAGCCTTAAAGGGACAATTCACCCCCAAATAAAAATACATATTTTCCTCTTACCTTTAGTAAGAAGAGTAAGAGAAGTAGCATCTACTGTTAGCTCACCTGGCACCACTGAGTTAGCTAATGTTGCAGCTCTGCCAAGGAGGACGCTATTGATGTTCACACTCTCGTCCATGAGTAGATGCACGCTTCCTTCTGCACGATGATACAGTTGGTAGATGTAGTTTGGTAGAAAGAAAATAGCTCCTACATGAAACTGCTCAGAACAAGGTCTGTGGATTATCTTGAGTAACCAGGTTATGATTTCTAGAAGGAAACATTACTGTTGAAATTTTTTAAATGTATTGTTTTGGACGCTTTTACAACCACAAGCTGAGTGCCATCTAGTACCATTATATTTGAGCATTTGGCAGACATCTCTACGGCCAATATCTCCAACAGTCTGCAACACTAACCAAAACAATCTAGACTGATAAATAGCACTACAGGTAAGAGTGAAAATGTTTTACCACATTGTCCATACCAAATTTTTGATTTTGAAGCACTAAGCAATTTATCAATTCTAATACTTGTATGTTCTCAGGTATATGTTGAGAAACTGACTTCAGTTCTACACCTCATATCTTGCCATAAATGTGAAATGATGACGATCTAGTACCATGCAAATTTTGACTTCCTGACTGGTTATAAAACCATGCTTGAATTACCCATGAATATGGAAACACCTATAAGGGAGCAGAGCAGGTAACCTAACCAGATTTGTGCCATTGTTGATTATCTATGCTCCACTAGAGCTGAGAGGACGAGGGAACAACATTTGGTTTTCTTCCAAGGTTAAACCTGTCGTAACATAGGGAAAGGGTAAAATATCCCTGGCACTGAGCACCTTACAATTTCCTTTTATTGTCTTGTGAGGCTTAAATATAAATGTGTTGTACCAGTGTCCCTAAAGATGCTGGTGGTGAATTTTGAGGCTGTAGTGTTAATGCAGTGACCAACTGAACCAACCTGTTTACTGAGATGTTCATGTTCTGCATATGTCATGTTTTTAGACTGAGCCCTTTGTTGTAACAGAGATAGTCTTGCCGTTAAAGTACTCACTTTGTGTTTGTTTTGGTAATTTTGTCATTTTGATAATTTGTTGATTTGGTTTTAAGATATTTTTTTATATATATAATTGCCAGCAAATAATAAGAAATGCCTTTCTTTTTCTTTGTTGGTATTTGCACATCTTATTAAGGAGACAAACTGTGATTCTAAAGTGATTATATGACCCATAATGTTGGTTCAAAGCACAGTGTCACGAGTAAAACCTTCTTGTCAGAATGTATCACGCCGCTGCTTGATCTCCTCTCTTGAATGAGGATGCACTTTCAGCTTAACATATCTTCCAGTGCAGCCTGCAGAGAGACGAAATCAAGGTGAGCTCCAGCGGACGCAGAGACTGACAGGATAACTGGTGATTGATGCGGAGAATCACAACGCTGTGCAAGTTTATTTCAAATTATTTGATAAGAGCTGCTGCACTACAGAGATATTCAACTACATATGCATTAATCTACTCCTCCAGCTCGTGTTCTTTATAGCACTGATGATACCCATTATTATCACTATTTGATCAAAGAGACAATTTTATTCTCTTACATCTTCTCCGTCTCTTGTGTCTGCTCTGACATGATTATACAATCAAGTCAGAAGCAGCTGGGATCTAAAGAAAAATAAATAAATAAATAAATAAAGCTGAGGTTTCACTGATATCGGTCAGTTATGTTAATGGTTATAGATGGTGACAGGAAGTTACTGGCTAAAAGGCTCATTACTCATCTTTCAGAAAATCTAAGGTAGGTTCATCACCTTCATCACCAACAGAGCCAGTTGAGAGAATGTTCACATCATCAGGATGGTCTTACCAGGCTAGGCACTGGTGATATACATCATTGTATTTCATTACATATTATATTCTGAATAAAACTTTATTTGGAACATAGTGTTAACTAGCAGCAGCAATCAGATTTTGGCAAAAAGTACGATATATTCTACTGAAATACTGTGGGGTAAGTTTTATCAGTGGTAGCCTAAGTGGAGATACTCAGGTGTTAACTTGTAATTGTAAAGAAGAACTATACACAATTAAGTGCACTCAACCTTCCAGTAGAGCTTTGGGCTTCAGACCTAAACTTGAGTCAGATTTCCTTCATAAAAATGTACAAAACTCCTCCAAGAGTTGGCTTGACCTGATCAAAAGCAAAAACATTTAGATCTCAGCTTCTGACCTCGAGAAATACCAAGACAGAAAGCAAAAAACAAAACAGAACGAACGTTACAGCATTCAGAGACCTGAAGGGCTTGCATATGACTCACAGTTTACCCATGAAGACAAACCTTGTGAATCCCCACGATGGACCCTCTCACCCTCCACAAACTGCACTCGGTGCACTGTGCATGTCACCTCCAAGTGTGCTAGGTACCCCAACAGAGGGATGATGAAAAATGGTGATGGTAAGGAGAGGCTCTATTGGTACCATCCACAACTTCTCATAATGTAAATGGAAAAATTACTGTTCTACTGTATATCAGACTGAACTGAACCAGACTGCTTGGTGCATCACGCACTTTGCAGCTGCCAACCAGTTTTCACGTGCAGGTTTTCTGTGACTCAGTTTGTGGTAAGTTGATCTAACACATTTCGCTCACTCTTGAAAATATGGACAAATCCTTATTTTTTTGTATTTGTCAGTCTTCAATTATGCTGGGAAAATATATTTTAAAAGATCAAAGTCTTGACTATTAAACCTTGTAATGGGCCCACCTCCCAGTGATTTCAGTTTTTTCTTAAATAGCATACATGATTGATGTATGCTATTTAAGAAAAAGCATACATCAATCATGTATGCTATTTAAGAAAAAGCATACATGATTGATGTCAGGGGTATAATCTGATGGAGTTACTGTCTTATGGAGTTGACAAAACTTTATATATTTATTGATTTCACAGCAGTCATAGTGACTAGTCATTTTAATTTTTGAAGTTGCAAAGAGTTAATGCTAATCAAAATACTCATTTTAAACCCTAAGTCTCATTTAGTGGAACACACTCCCAGACCACATCAGACAGTGTACCACTTACCGCTCCTTTTCACGAAGTCTGAAAACCTGGTTTACCCAGAACTATGTATGCCTTCATGACTAATCCTGCCTGCCTACCCTGTCTGTCTGCTTTAGCTTGTCCCAGGTTTTGTTGCATGCTTTATTGTTGCATTCTGGCTGCATGTATTACTGGCTGATTCTCTGTTTGTCCTTGAATAGGAAATGGTTTGTTTCCTGTGGTGTTATTCTATTTAAGTCGCTTTTATTTGACATCTCTCCCTTCCTCTGCCTCCTCTACCCCTCTCTCTCTTCTCTCTCTCTTCCCTGTGTGCTTACAGTTCTATTGCATGTGCTCCCATGTACTGTCTGGCTATTTGTATTGTTTATTCGTGTAAGTCTCTCCTTGAATTACTGCATGCTTGTTTTATATACCTCCTTGTTTTCAATGGCAATTCAATCAGGCCCAGGGACAGCAGCTGAAAATAAGCTAAAGCGAATGCTGATGCATTTACAGCAATGTGTAAATGTTGTCATTGATTAATGTGTATTGTCCCTGCACAAATAAATCAATTAAAAAAAAAGATTTAGAAGGTCTACAGAGTTAACCTGTTATGGCTGAAACATACCCAATATCAATATCATTTAATGAACAAGGAAGTGAGACAGGAGTTTTTAAGATATAGCTAACCCCCTTTTATGCCTGATTAAATTATGTTTTTGTAGAAATCTGACAAAGTTGACAAAATTCAGGGACACATTTTTATAAGGGCCAACATTTTCATAAAAAATGTATTTTAAAACAAAGATGAATATAACACTACATTTTTACACCTATGCTATCAGTATGTGCTGTTAGTTATAGATTTCGAAGGCTTTTAACACATTTTTTAATTGTATGAAGTTGTGAATTCTTGTCTGAGACAAGTTTTCAGTTTTCTGGCACGGGGGTGCCAGTTTAGAAATTAAAAGAATGAAAGCAGATCAAAAATATTTTTCAAATAATATTCATTTCCTATAAGTAAATAATTTTAGAATTATGTTTCACCCAAGAAACAGAATCATGGTGTTGATAAGTTATTATTTTATTTTATTTTTTGGCAGGACATGATTTGTCCAGTTCTCCAGAATGGGTGATTTACATAGGAATATGCACACTGCACCATGTGAGGCACAATATCACCCTAAAATGACTTAGATCCAACACTAGATTTCCACACAACCCCACAGGGAGGACTATTCTCAGTTAAAATTTTACTGTATTTGTGTGAATTCACTTGCAATTGTGCAAAAGCAGATGCATGAATTGAAAACATGCAGTGGGGTGGAGCCCTGAGGCAGTTGGTAATGCAATAGAGTAGAAAAAAAAGCCACCTCTGTCCTCTAATGTGTCTACCTGGATGATTAATAATGAGATGTATAGCCATGCAGTAGACATGTGTGCAGTGCTCCAACAGCAGCCACACAGGGCTGCACCACAGCGGAAGTACTGGGAACCAGGAACAGCAGGAGCCACGGCGCTGTCATGTTCTGGTGGAGAGACGCCTGCTAACTAACTCCGTTAACCCACCCTGACACACACATCCAGGGGACCATGGGAGGGTCTTCAAGCGTCGAGATACCGGGTGGAGGGACTGAAGGCTACCACGTCCTCAGAGTAAGAGCAGTTTAATGTCCTGGTGACACGCAGTGCGTTTTCTGTGGAGGCAGACAGACCTGATGTTAGCTGCAGACACAGAGGAGGGGGCTCTGCTAGCTAACCTCTTAGCTAATGTTGGTGCTACAGCTAAATATTATTATATCTTCACTCAGTGGAGTTATTTGATTATGACACATGAGAGGTTTCGCTAACATCTAATTGCCTGTAGTAGCTAGCTAACTGTCAGCAGCTAGTTGTGATGTATGTGAGTGTGTTTGTTGTAGGTTAGCATGTCGTTAAGGTGTATTCTCAGTGACCTGTCAGCCTGTTATATGTTAGCCTCCTTATCATTTATGTTAGCAATTTGTCAGGTTGTGTTTAAACTGCATGAATTCATATGACTTGACGTGGTATTTAGTGTTACAGCATGCGCAGTCGTCCTAACAAACAGATAATTACCTGTGTCTGCTGAAACCTCCATGATGCCTGAAGAACCGGTGTGGCTACTAACCGCAGGACACAACCACTCAACATGGGTGTGTGTACCTTCATATAGGAAACCCCTCATTGTTTTAATATAAAAGGTCATTAAAGTTCACCTTTATGTCACTTTTTTCCCAATGATGGAAGAAGAATTCAGATCCTTTATTTAAAGTACTAATACCACACTTTCAAAATACTCCACTGCACATATACGCCCTGCGTTCAAAACCTTACTTAAGTATAAGAATGTAAATATAAACAGCAAAATGTACTTAATGGCAAACTTAAACACTCTTCAACTCTGACCCTAGTCTTATGTTTTTGTGTCTAAGAAGGCATTCACACTGGTGCTATTTGGTCCACTTTAAACGAACCCTGGTCCGCTTCCACGGATAGTTCGGTTCATTTGGAGTAGTGTGAATGCCTGTTCGAACTCTGGTGTGGACCAAACGAGCGACCCCTGGTCCGCTTAAAAACTGGGGGTCTCACTTCACTTGCAAGTGAACCCTAGTGCGGTTCGCTAACAGTGGGAAATGCAAATGGACTATCCAGCGAACCAAAGAGAGTAAGTGACGTAGAGTGCATTTTGGGTAGAAAAAAACAAAGCCAACAGCGCAAACTGGGAGAAGCAGAGGTAAAAAAAGAAAAAGTCGGAAAATGTTTCATGGGCAGACGTGGAGTAGTGAGGAGGTGCATAAATGCATAAGTTTGGTGTTGCTACATTGTTGTTGTGGTGACCAAGCTGGCTGAAGGGGATGGATTTCCGTTTTCGGTCCTAGCCAACTGATGAACCGGGTTTTCTTCTTCCTTATGCTTTTCTCTTCCTGGTCAGTGGTCGTTTCGGGCCTCACCGCCCCCAAACGAGCAGCTGTTGTAACTGTGTGACATTGTCCAGGTAGTTTGGTCCGCTTTAAAAAGTGCAGTGTTAGGGGTGTAATGGTACATAAAAATCTCGGTTCGGTACGTACCTCGGTACACAAGTCACGGTTCGTTTTTTTTCGGTACAGTAATGAAAAAAATAGACAACTATTAAATATCTTTTACTTATTGGTAACCTTATTAAAACATACCACCACAGCAGTTAACTCTTTTTACACAATTTTGCTGCTGTTTTTTTAACACATTTTTTGAATGAAAAATATAAATATACATTTCTGCTTTAACAGTTTTACTCAATTAAAATAAAAAGTATAGTGCAGTAAACAAAACATGCTTATATCTAAAGTGCAGCTTAAACAATTTTACTCAACTCCAATGGCGTTGATTATTTCTTTAGCGCAATGGTCAGGGAAACGCTCTTTCTATTTAAACAACAACGATATCGTAGTTTGCACCAGATTGCTTTTTCTAGTCGTGCCGGTTGGGTCCATGTCATTGGTTCGACAGCCCATTGGTTCGACATCCCATTAGTCCGACTGTCCGCGGTGCTGAACGGCTTGCGGCGGGCATATGGTGCGCCGCGACCAGCTTGAGGCGGAGCAGGCTCACGGCTTATGTGTTTGTCACTTTCTTTTTCATTTTAACCCACACCATGATCTTTTCCTAACCCTAACCAAGTGGTTTTTGTGCCTAAACCTAACCAGACCTTAACCACAGGGCATCATGATGATTTCGGAATGGACTTCGAACAATGAGTTTAATATGGTCAGAACAATGATATGTCGAACCAATGGGCAGTTCCCGTGCCGGTTAACATTCAAACTCGGGTGGTGTCGCTTTAGATGCGTTAGCATGTTAGACGTGTTTCCAAGTACATACCCGACCGCTGTTCTGCAGTGCCGGCACACTGCTTTTGTCTTTTCAACTTGTTTATTTCCATCTTCGTATTTTACCTGAAACCAAAGTGTTCCCAAACGGAGGACTGTTTGTGGGTGGGTCTTCAGGTTCGTCAGGCTCACTTGCCATGTTGTCAAAATGCGAGAATGCGCTGCACAAAGTGAAAGCGGAGATTTACGGGACTCGGTCCGTCACTCAATTATGTCTGTCGGGGAACTAGATATTTTAAATGGTTCGGCTCGCAAAAATGGAATTAAAATAAAACAAAATAAAATAAAATAATATCCTGCGCCCAATAATTCGGTACAGGGTCGTGCCGAACCGAAAGTCGCGTACCGAACGGTTCGACACAAATACATGTACCGTTACGGCCCTATGCAGTGTGAAAGTGAACCGAACCAACTGAAGGTGTGAAATTTTTTGGCATTCCCCACCCAATCGAACTGACTCCCCTGGACTATCCTGCTGTGAATGTGCCCCAAGAGACTAATGGAGATAACATTCTTTTGAAAGTGGTTCACTATTGAGTGAGGCCGCTGCACCCAGCAGTGACGAAACCGGCTCCAGTGTAACCATTGGGGGTATTTGCATCAATTTATGTCCCCTAAAAGGGCTTATTTTTGCCACTGACGGGGTCAAATTGTTATTTGAAGTGTCTGACAACATTATGGATTGTAAATCTCACTCCATTCAAAGTTTACAGAAACAAAATAAAATTCACGAAAGCCATCTGAGTTCATCATTCTGCTGTTTCAACAATCACTAACTCTGGTTTAGTTATTCACCCAGTTATTTGCAAACATATGCTCTATACATGCTAAAATTACTCTTTATTTTAATGGAGTCTGTGAGTTTGGTGATAGCAATTATGTGGCTGTTTCTGGTTAAACATAAAGGATTATACTCAGGGTTGAAATTAACTTTTTTGTTTACCTGCCACTGTGGCTGCTGGATTCCAGCATCTACCAGCCACTCAATAGATCACTGTTGTTTATTTGGCTTGTGAGTGAAGCTAATCCAGCTGACAGCATTTGACTGGTGCTCACGTCCAACCCTGATTATTATCTTTGTGAAATAGGTCTATCTCTGTATGGATCTTTTCCATAATGTTGTCAGATACTTAAAATAACAATCTGAGCCTGTTAGTGGCAAAAACAAACACTTGAAGGGGACATAAATTGACAGTGCACAAATGCTCCAAGTTGTTACATTGCAGCCTGTTTAGCCACTGCCTGCTGCAGCCTCTTCACTCAATGCTGAACCAATTTCAAAACTGTTGTCATCATTACTCACTTAGACACAAAGACATGAGGAAATAGGACCAAGGTTAAAAAAAAAGTTTCCCTTAAAGTATGTGAAGTAAAAGTACTCATTGTACAGTAAAATGTTCCCTCACAGTCTAGGATGTTTTAGGATTATTATTACTGCTGCATTAATGTGTATTTTGCATTCTGCTGCTATAGATGTTTAAGGTGGTCTAAGCTCAGTACACGGATCTTAAATGTAGGATAAAGAGAGAGCACTAGTATTGGCGCTGGAGTGCTGTTTCAAGAAACAACTGATTCCAATCTGTGACTTTCAGGAGGCAGCCCTTAACACGACGAACGATGTAATATAATCTAACAGAGAACGACTTTGTGTCCCTCCTGATCTGCCTCGTTCGTTTTTCCAATGATATTTCATTGGCCTTTACTCACAGCTTCTGACCACCAGCTGTAATTATTCGGTAATTATTTATCTTGTAGCTACACCTCAGGATGAACACTTTCATATTAGTGTCTGACCATTTTGGCTATTGGTAAAGCGCTAGTGTCTTATTGTTATGATTTTACAGGTGCAAGAGAATTCCCCCGGTCATTGTGCAGGACTGGAGCCTTTCTTTGATTTCATCATTTCCATTAGTGACACTAGACTGGTGAGTATAACCTGCTCTAACAATGACAGAGGACTGCTTTATGACAGATGATCGGAACATTGTGATCTCTGACAGAACAAGGACAATGACACCTTAAAAGAGCTGCTGAAGATGAACGTGGAGAGGCCCGTCAAGATAACGTTATACAGTAGCAAGACGCTGGCAGTGAGGGAGACGACCGTCACACCAAGCAACATGTGGGGCGGACAGGGGCTGCTGGGAGTCAGCATTCGCTTCTGCAGCTTTGAAGGAGCCAATGAGAATGTTTGGCATGTTTTGGTGAGTGTGCCGCTCTGATGAGGAAATATCCTGAAAGCTGCTGAGATATAATACTGGATATGATTTTTGGATGTTTAACCATTCGCAAGCTTGGAAATTTAACACAGAAATGTAATTGTCATTCAAGATAAATATAAATGAGCTTTCATTGCTGTCACCTAATGTGTTTGTACATGGTGTTGGAGTCCAGGAAGTGGAGCCAAACTCCCCTGCAGCTGTTGCTGGTTTGAGGGCTCATACTGACTACATTATAGGAGCTGACACCGTCATGTGCGAGGTATTTGCTTTCATGTGTAAGATATTTGCTTTCCAGATCAGTAGTAATATTGACTTAACAGGTGAATAACTCTTGTTCTTTCAACAGGGTGAAGATCTGTTCTCTGTAGTGGAAACACATGAAGGGAAGGAGCTGAAGCTTTATGTTTACAACACAGATACGGACAACTGCCGCGAGGTGGTCATCACTCCAAACTGTGATTGGGGTGGAGAGGGCAGGTAGGAGGAATTTTTACATCTGAAGTCAGTCGAAAACTGTGAATCATGGTATAATATTGTTTTCTATCAGTTAACAAAATGTTGGACATACAAAACCCTTAAAGAATGCACTGTACAGTCCTTCCTACTGGCAACACGCATACAGCACCATGAAACCATAAAGTTTCAGGTGTAAATCCAGCCCTCAACTTTTGCCGCATGACTATCACACACCTCCTTAACATCTTTAGATGACAGAAAATAATCCCAAATAGTATAATTTTCACATAAATGCTTGGTTTTACCTGATAAAAATCAAGTATTGGTCAGGACACTTTTCATAAGAGAGAAATGGTTGTAGATAATTTATGTTTATACACTTAAAGGTCTTGTCAGCGATTCTATTCCAACACAGTTAAATTCAGCGAATATCTCCTCACAGTCGCTAGCTGACAGTTGTGTGTGTGCACAGAAAAATATCTGCTCTTTATATGCAGCCCTGCCTCTGTAAATGTAGCGTGTCTGCAGGTCCTTAAAAAAGTCTTAAATTCAATTTTATAAATATAAGGCTTTACAAGCAGTTTAATAGTCTAGTCTAACAATGATTTTATTTATTCCTCTTTTGATTTATTTTTGTAAAAACGAGTCAAGCTCAATTCTGCATTAAAGTTCACATGTCTGATGTTGCAAATATTTAAACCTACCACTGGACCTAATACTGTCTTTTAACTTTATACTTGCACTTACCTGTTGGCAACATGTACATTAACTTAACTCACTCCTTTAACCATATTCCTACATAAAACATACCTCTGCAAGGGACCACATACACACCACTTACCTCGATACTTACCTGCAGTGCACGAATAAGAAAGATATGCTTTGTAGCTCAGACTGAGCTACACAACATTATGTCGGCTGCTCTTCCACATTCTTGCCCATGTGGAGCAGAGCTACACCATGATGGGAATGAAACATAAATAACATTGAGATATTTCTGACACTTCTGAAGGAGCACCTGGTTGAGTTGAGTTCAAGTGTCATCAGTCTTTCACCTGAACCATTTCCTGTTTCAGTCCACAATATGTCTTCATTTTGGGTTTGGTAGTTTTGTTAAGGTTATTTTCACTTCTTAATTCAGTATTTTTAATAACGGTGTTCACAATTCAATTTTTTATAATTGCAATGTTGTGTATTGTTCCTAAAAATAACATTTATATAAATTTGTCAATCATTATTTAGTCGAGATTATATTGAATCCTATTTGACCCTGAAAAAAAACATAAAAACAGTTGTGTATCGTTTTACTGAATTTTAGTTTCATACAGACTTGTTTTTTCAGTCGTCTGTTACATATTTTACTTTTAGATCCCCTTTCTTTTTCTGAGTAAATTTTACGGAAACTTACAGTAAAGTTAATTTTCTCGTCTAATGACAGATGGACTCAACAACAATAGCGTATTCATGGAAAATAGTCACTGACTGAATGGGTTTTTAAATTATAGCATGCTAAGCAGCTACCGTACCATCATCTTTTAAAGTCACATGTTGCAATTTGTATCCCCCAGAGTGGAAGGTTGTTATCGCATATCATCTTTAAGGGCACTATGAACTCTCTGTGTGAACATTTTCCTCTCCAATATTTCCATCTCTTCAGTCTAGGATGTGGGATTGGCTATGGCTACCTGCACAGGATACCTACACTGCCATTTGAAGAGGGCAAGAAAACCAGTTTCTCTGCACAGACTCCCAGTGAGCCAGTAACTCCTCCGAAAGATGGCTTCACAGAGGTAGCTCAGCATCTTAAAGAAAAGACGTAATTGTCTACACACCTTGTGAACATTTACTGAGATGATGTAATTTTGGTTACCAGGTCCATCTCTCTGCTGTCATTCCAACCGTTCCAGTTGCTGCGTCTTCTTCTGCTACGACTAGATTAGAGCAGTCACTCGCTGGCTTGTCAGTGAGCTCTAATCTGACCGCTGTTGTTAGCGATCTACCGACAGGTACACAATCATCTCTAAATTTTCAAAACATCCTGTTGACCTAAATTCAACAACATATTACTTTAAGAACTAAAAAGAATTGACAGTGCAAACAAACAGAATAACGGTTTTGTTAAAAATTTTCAGGAGCTCCTACTGTCCCTCTGCCCAGCCATGTCCCCTCCTCACAAAGCGCTCCCCTGTCTGTCAGTCCTGCCTCCACACTACCAGGTTAGTAGAAAATATTTTGGGAGGCTCTGGCTCCTCAGGTGTGGCACCAAAGCCAGCTACTCTGAAGCCAAACATGCATGACATCTGCTAATTTAACACTGTCTAATATACATCATATTTGTTGCACAGGTTTAATGCCCTTACCTGGAGGTCTTCCACCCTTTCCTCATTTACCAAATCTAAATATCACCTTGCCACCTGGTGGATTACAACATACAGGTATTGTTTTGTTCTCTGGAATGTACTGGGGTTGGTTTAGATAATCCTGAGGTCTGGTGTTATTCGATATTTTTCTTACTGTCCACAAATCCCATAAAAAGACGAAAACCTAGGATGAATTGTTTGTATACTAATAAGTAATACATGTTTAGCCAAAGCATGGTATAACTCAGTGGTTCCCAACTGGTGGGTTGTGGTCTCATTCTGGATGGACCCCAGGTGACTCGCAAACGTGTCAAGTAAAAGGGTTATTCTGCTGCAAGTTATGACTTTAAAGACATCTGTACAGTAATAGTAATGGTCTGTTTGTGTTGTGCTCTACAGGTCTTCCACCCCTCACCCTGCCAAGTGTGGTCCCTGGTGTAACTCTGCCTCCACCTGACTTTGTTCTTCCCCCCGTCGCTGCAAATGCACCTCCTGCTGTTACAATGAATACCACATACCCCCCCTCTGCTATCCAAATGAACAGTTCACTGACCAGAACCCCCGTCGCACCATCAGTGGCCACCCCTGAATCAATAAATATCACAATAACTGCTGACTCATCTTAGCAGAGAGCGCTGTTAAAAGTTGTCGGCTTACACAATATAGCCAGTCTATTAGCTGCATCACTCAGTTGACAAATTGCTCCTACATGCCGTTACGATTGTTGTACGAGCTCTGGTATCTGGAGGATACTTGGAGCTGGTGCTGGTCTGCTCACATGAAGCGTGAATGTGTGTCCGGCAGAAGCTGGCTTGTTGATGGCAGTAAAAAGAAAATTACAAGAATAATTCAAGCCTCTCAGCAGAGTTCAAATATTCACTCTGCTGCAGAGCAACTTTTAAAATAGCTCATAACTCAATAGTAATAGGTATTAACACAAACTATGTGGGCTTTTTTAAGCTTGGCTGAAAGAAAAGGTGTAAAATATGTGGGAACAGGTTACTTTTAAGTGTGTGGGTCAGTATGTTGGCTTTTTTTTTTTAGGACTACGGAGCCTTTGAAGGGTCATAATTACCCCTTTTCCACCACATGGAACCAGTTCTGTTCTGGTTCCCATTTAATTTTGAACCGTTCAGAGCATTTCCATCAAAAAGTTGGTTCTCAGGTCAGGCCAAAAAATAGGTTTTCCTTAAATTGAAGTGCCAATTGTCACCACATCAGTGGGCGTGTCATTTTCTACAGGTTGGAAAGGGAGGATGGGGGCGGCAGTGATGGAGAGGTCACGTGAGAAATCAAAGAGCGTGCAGTGGTCTCATGAATAATTAGTCCATGCGTGTTTTTGGGGGGGGGGGGTAAGACATATCTGTACTAACAGAACAAAAGTTTGCAGGTAATGAATGTAATCAGCCATTTTGCTGCAATTGTTTACTTCCATAGTGCATTATGCGACCTCTTCTGTTGATGACACATCCTTCATTGCAATGGTCCTGCTCAAAACTGGTGGCAATGCAGGCTGCCTCACAAGATATACCATGAATTGAACCAGTTAAGGACCCAGAGCTAATTTGGTGGAAAAGGGGTAAATGTTTTTTTTTCCCCTCAACTACTTTTGTGCTTCCTAGCAATGTTTTTGCAGTCTCCCTGATCCACAGGAACATTTTGTATATTGGTCCAGTCAGTTTTAAAGCACAGTTTAGGGAAATATTGTGCAGATACTACAGAATGGAGACCTGATTGCTCATTACTCCTCTTAAAAGAGCTTAGCTCCAACAGTATGCAGCCACTTCCTGTGAGTGCAGCTGCTCTTCCTGGCTGTGAATATGGTAATTGCTTAGACTAAGGTTGCAGTTTTGGTTGTAACTATGATGCTGTGAATATGGCTACTGTAGCTGTAAAGTGACTACTCTTTACTGCTCCTGTTAATGCTTTCACAGCTAATGCTAACCACACAGGATATAATAGATGTATTTAACACCACACTTAGCCAGCATAACCATGTCAGTTCACTGCAAACATTCCACCCCTGCATGCAGATATTGTTACACTATTATATAGATTAACTTGTCATAATCATGATGACCAAGGTATATACATGGCTACATCCAAAACCACAGCTACCGTCTGTCTCAATCAGACTTGGCAGCAGTCAGTGAGAAAGCTGTGTCGACTAGCTCTGCTCTATCCAGCTGCAATGATAGACCGGGCGACATACAGCTAAGGGTACACCCACACGAGGTGCTCCCAACTAGCAGCGGTCATGTAATACATAATAGTGTATTCATAATACAGCTCAGCCTCTCTATGGATCAGAAGAAATGCAGAACATATTGCGAGGTAACACAAAAAAGGAGAGAAAAGGTGGCTCTTTAAACTACTGGAGGTCTTCAGGGGAAGGAAGAGTGGTAACTTATACTACTGGGGATTTCTCTTAGAAAAGCAGGTTTGCTTGCTGCAGCGCTGTAGCCATTAAAAATGTATAATGGTGTTGATTTTGTACAAAAAATGATTTGTATAGTGTTATATCGTTACCTTGATTAAACTGATGTATTTTCTCTATCTCAGCCTCTTGTCTCCACTTCATATTCCTGTGCTCATCTCATCATCCTTGCTACACCCTGTAACAGTGCAGTACCAGACAAAGCCACAGAGTGTCAGTGTGATTTCAGAAAATGGAGACAAATGGCAGCAGATTGCAGCCTAAACTGTTCAGTGGGTCATCAAGTGAATACGGATGTTAACTTTAGAATGAACAGGCTGATTTTACAGTACCATTCAGTGGGAGAGAAAAACGTTTCCTGGCATTTATTATTCACTCTTTGCAGAACTGTACAATTTGTACCCGAAGTGGAACATACAGCCCTTGAAAAAGTAAGAGCAACAAAGCAGCAAAATGAAACACTCCAGGAAACTAGTTTTGCATGGGGAAATTTTAACTCTTTGTACACATTACTGCTGCAGTTCAAAATTTGAAAATTCACCTGTACAGCATATACAGTTTCCAATTTATCTGTTAATTAATATTCCTGCATAGGATTCTATACATTGTCATTTTTCTACATTTGGTTACTTTGTGCATTAAACGTTAAGTACGCTGCCCCAACCTACATGTCACTAGATGCCACTTTTATGCTACACATTACATTCTCATGGATAAGTAACTCAAATTAAAGCCTAACATTTGTGAAAAACAGAACATTTAGCCAAATCAATAGTGAAATCTTTGTAGTTCTACATTAACAATGACTGTCCTCACAGTAAATTAACTTCTAGCAGCTGAATCATTTGCACCCTGGCAGGACCATGTTATTTCAACTAAACGGCGGGCTGCCAAGTCTCCCTTCGGCCCGTTAAGGCTTTATCCATCTGCAACATCTGAACAGAGTGTCCAGTCACATTTTCTTCAAGGTTCGTCGTCAGTTTCAGTGCTTTTATCGGACCCTCAGGAGATCCTTTTACCCATGTCCTTTTAAAACATCCCCTCACCGTCCCTCCGTTAATCAAGCCCTGGTAAACAAGTAGAAGCCTGGCACAAGTCAGAGGAGGCCAGGTGAGATCTCCCCCATCTGTGTCCTGCTCCGCCTGTTGCTGGCTGCTTTCCTCTCCCACGAGCCAGAGCCTCTGAGAAGCTCTGCAGGCGTGGGTGCAACTTGGTCAGTTTGCCTTTTTGTCACAGTACGTGGCTGTCAGTATGAGATGATGCTGGAGGAGGCAGGTCCTGAGCCAGCAGCATTCATCTGCAGGTTCCCAGAGGAGCTTGACCTCCGCATGTGAGGGAGCAGGTAGGGGTCGCTTCCCAACTGGTGAACGTCGATCCTGTCCTCCTTCCTGTATGCCAGGCACCGCCTTATGAAGGCCTGGAGGGGGAGGAATAGTATTAATTTGCAGGTCAACAAGATATTTTAAAGGGGACCTACTATGCTCATTTTTTAGGTTCATACTTGTATATTCAAGTTCACCCCTACCTTTGCTTCATTACTGGAGACTGGCTTGACAGGGAACTGAACGTCTGTAGCTTTCAGTATGGTGTTCTCCTGCAGGATGTCCTGTTGTGACTGATTGTGGCCAAAAGGCTGAAAGAAAAAAGGGACGAGCAATGCTTTATAATTACGCAAGAAATTACAGAAACATTCAAAGGTAGAATCTGTATCGCCCTCCTTACCTTCCTTCCATAGAGACACTGAAAAAAGATAACGCCCACAGACCACACGTCCACCTTGTTGGAGATCTTTGGAGGTTCTTTACCAACTACAAAACATTCAGGAGGCAGGTACCTGGACAGAATAATAAAAAACATCAAGTGAAAAGTAACTTGGCACACTTACACTGTAAGTACTGTCTGCTTTATGCTGCTACATTTATTTAACAGTTGTTACTGGTTACTTTTTATACCAATATTTTACACATAAAACATGGCTTTAAAAAATACGATGCAGATATGAAATTAAACTACCCCAGAGTACATACATCAATTTAACTTGGCCCCACCACGACCAACTACAACATTAAAGTATTGCTTACATGTTGATTATATAAAATAAAAGTGAAAGGGACCACTTTGCATGACCAGTGCTGTTACTTCAGATACTTATTGATAATACTTACGCACTTTTAATTAAAGAACGGGTCTTATTTATTTCTAAGTATTTTTATCATTCTGTAGTTTTCCAGTGCTCCTTTTAGTTGACGTGTCTATGTTTTAGCATCAAAATGCTATTTTCTCAAACATTCTGCAAACATTTTTCAACTTGACCTGATGTGGGTTTCTGCACGATGACGTTGCTACATATAAACCCCCTAGCCTGCCCAATGTGCCACTTCATCACTAAGCCTAACTGTGTATTATCAATCTTCAAAATTAGCTATATGACATTATCTAACCCCCTAACTGGCACAGAGGCTACTGCGTGGACACCACGTCAGTTGGGATTCATCAAAATGACTAAGACAGTGGTAGACAAGTACCTCCCGTGTTTCCTGAGGCATAATTACTTTTTTTTTTTGTCAAAAGGAGTCTGGTGGCTTTAAAGATGGATGAAGATAAATGGATATCATGGCTTCTTACCGGTCAAAAAGGGCTGTCTGACGGCAAGGTAATGATATAGTGATATAAATATTACACTGGCACCTCACACAAACCCACTTACAAAAATCCAAACTAAACCTTAAGACGACGTGCCTGCCCACACTATCTTTCAGTTGTTGTTTGTTAATTCTGTTGATTGTGCAATGCTATTTCGGTTATTTTTTTGAAGATATTGTAAGCTTTTATCATTTACTTATATTCTGTTATTTATGATTGTTTTTATTTGTTCATTCCTGCTTTTTAATTTGATCATGCCTCTGTTTTAATTAATTTGTTTGGGAAGCACTTAGGTCAGTGTTCATTGTTTATAAATGTGCTCTATAAATAAATCTGACTTGAAATGACTTTTAGTCATCATTATTATCAGCGCTTGCCACTCTAACGTACATCACAGCTTTTCTGCTAATGGCTGAGCAGACCTTTCCATTTGAAAAACCTGGAAAAGACGCGGAAGGACCCACTCTTTCAGTGAAAAAAACCAACGCAAATTCACTATAGCTCTGACCATGTACACACACACACACACACACACACACACACACACACACACACACACACACACACGTACGTACACGTACACGTACACGTACACACACACACACACACACACACACACACACACACACACACACACACACACACACACACACACACACACACACGTCTCTGGTCAAATGATGCTTCCCTACAACAACTGAGTTATGAAAGGAGAAGTGGCAAAATGGTGTGTGTTTCCACAAAGTCATTATCAGTGAATTCAATGTGAGGTTAGGTGCCCAAGTGACCTATAGAGGTGCTGGTCGCAGGTCCAAATTGAACACTAAATCATTACTTAGAGTATCTTTATTGTGTGGTATTGCTACACTGAATGTTCACATTGTATGTGGTGTGTGTATATGGGACATTGTTTCTCACCAGTAGGTCCCTGCACCCTGTGATGTCAGGTCCATGCCATCCACTCCATAGTTGTCATCATCCATGATTTTTGACAGACCAAAGTCTGTGATTTTGATTTCCCCACAGGCTGTGCCGTCCACCAACAAGATATTGCCTGGAAATCAAAGTAACAGAAGTTAGTACTAAAGAGGAAATGGCGCACTATCAGTTATATGACTGCAGCCCACCACACAACTGACACTCAGTTGGCACAATATGATTTAATGTAGAGTAACTGATATTATTGAATTAATATGTCATCAGTTACCCAGAGGGGCGTGTTTACCTGGCTTAAGGTCATAATGGATGATGGGGGGTTTGATTTCATTCAGGTATCTTAGTGCGTTCACAATCTGCATGACTATAGACCGTGCCTCCTTCTCAGACATTAGCTTATGCTGTTTCAAGTAGAAATCCAAGTCATTGCCTTCGCAGTACTCCATGACAGTGCAAAACCTATTGAACGGGAAAAGACTTGTTAAGAATTATGACCCACATTGAACAGAAATGAGCTGAAAAGTGCTGGAAATGGATGAACAAGAATACATCGAGTGCACTAACGTGTCTGTGTCCAGTGAGAAGTAGTCGTAAAGTTTCACGATTCTGGGGTGGTCCAGCTCCTTGTGTATTCTGTACTCTCGACATGCATGCCTGTGGAGAGGAAGGTAATTATGCTTGTATTAGCTATAAAGCATGAAGGTGGAGGTGCTGTCTCCTGCACTGACAGCCCAGGGTTGGGGCTTATGGAGAGGAATAACAATACGCTGAATGTAAAAGACATCAGAACAGCTTGTCAAAGTGTGTCACAACAGTTTAAACATTAATAATAGTATACTGCAGGTGAGGTTATACATTTCCACATTAGTCTACATACTTGTGATAGTTCTCCTTTTTCTCTTCTCTCCAGTTCTTGTTAAGTTGGTGGATTTTCACAGCAGCATATCGTTGCTCAATCAAGTCAAAAGCCTGCACAACATACGGACAAAACATTGGCTTATACTTGAAAAGCAATACCTGCTAAGAATATTATTTCACTTTAACACCCCTGACGTCAACATTTAAGTACTTACCTTGTAAACTTCACTGAAGCCCCCTCGTCCTAGAAGGTGTAGGAGCAGATATCGTTCATTCAACGTTGGGTGATCTTTAAATCTTTGGATGGAAAAAACAACAGAGACAATAAGCTTTGCTGAGCCAATACATGATCAATGTGGAAAAACATAAAAGAGCTTCATGCAGTGGGCAGTCACTTAATATTACCACTATGGATGAGGATATTGGCCCTGTGTGCACATCATGTTCCAATGTCAATGCAGCAACTGTCAGAGAAATTGATTCAGACTCACTGTGAGCTGTCTTCATTATTAATTCTCTTCAGCTCCCGAATGTGAAGGTTGCGCACTCTCTCCAGACGCTCCAGCTCCGCCTGGATCTCAGCTTCTTCCTATAAATGATTCAAACACTCAAACACACAAATGCACAGAGAGAACTTCAGAACTCTCGACTACAAGGAGAGGAGCTCATCAAAACCCACTTGTACAC